AATAATAAACAACATTAGATATTAAAAGACTTGAGACCCATAAGAACCCATAAAATATCATTAATTGAGCACTTTCTCATTTTGAAAAGCACTGTGTGAAAACTGAAGCTTGCAGTAGTGTACAGTATATTATCATTAGATGCTATAGCTGTGGAGAGGTGAGTGACAAATCATGCCTCCCTGACTGGAAAACCAACAAATGGTTCTGGGTTTGGTGGTTCCCAGGACAAAAGCCTTTACCTGACTGTACTGTGTTGGGTGTAAAGTTTGGCACAGGGGGCTTGATGGTGTGGCGCTGTTTGGGTGTGTGTTTGCGTGACTCTGTGTTGCCCTGTGTAGAGTGGTCCGGGGAACCCATGATCTTTGGAGATCGACACCAGCCTCGTCGTGTCCCTACCAGGATAATCGGGTTTCTGATGAATGGATCATTGATAAATATATTTCCTCTGCAAGCAAGACTTGAAGACAAGTTTATTTTACCCATGCAACATTCAAAACATGCCAGAACAAACAAGGTAAGATGTTTTGTTTTGTGAATGAGATGCTGCTGATGGAAAATCGGGAGCTAAAAATCACGGCTCTTGGATCTTTGACATTTAAGAAGTTTAGTACATTTCAGTACTAATTTGAATAATCTTTACTGATTACGAATCCATTTGTTGATTTGAAGAAACACAATACTCGTAAGATGTCCACTAGCAATGTTTGAAATTGACTGGCAACACCTGTAGATTTACAATGAATAGTCCCCAAAGCAAAGTGGAAGTGAGTTCTTTGCTTATTGCAGAGCGGGAGAAAATAAATGTTGATTTTGAAGAAGCCGTCCAAAGGCAGCTCACTTATGTCACTACTCATTCTGAACATGCCCAGGAGATCTAACCCAATTCATGGCGCAATTTGTCTCACTGACATCCCATCATTTGCGTCTCTTTCTTCCATTGCCACCATAAATATGCTCAGATGACCTAAAAAAGAAGAGGATGGATGGTGCCTGCCATTTCATTTTTCCATGAGGACAGAACAGAATCAATAAGGATCAACAAGATTCAGCCATGTTAGTCTGACGCAAAACTGTGTTGATAAAAGTCTATTTAGCTGAGAAAGCTCATAATGCATTGTCTGGGGAGACGGTTTAAAATCCTCTTACTCATTAGTTGTAACTTCAGAAAAGCTCTAATTTTGTCAATTTTAATTAAATTATTTCAGCTTATAGTAAGGTACTTTATCCTGACTGACTACCAGGTTTCCCATTAAAGAGAAAAGTGTTGGCAAGAAAAAGATGAAAATAAAAAGAACTTAATTCCAGCAATCAGATTAGGATGAAACGGGATGCAAATTAATAGAGAAAGGGCAAACATTTAATGACCTTGTTACTTTTCCTGCTATCTAAAAAATACAGACAGATTCAACAGCTACAAAATCTCTGTGACCTAACAGTAGAAACACACAGTGTGCTGTATCTGCTGTGAAGTCTTTTCTAAGATAAAATACTTTTCCTAAATGTGTGCCAGCACTCATGACTTACATTCAGACTGTATTCTGCACCATTTAATGAACCTCTTCTGAATAAGAAAGAGTGCTGTTGGTATTTTTAGCCACCATTTCAGGATCCTCAAGGTCATATGTGGGGAAATGTCTCCTCTCTAGTGAAGTTTATGTAAATTGAGAGAGAAAGATGAAATGTTGTCATTTCATATTTAATATTTTTCTAAATCACTGATTTTTTTTTCTGCAGGTACATTGCCTTTCAAAAATATTTACATCCGTTTATTGTCAGGTTACAGGATTTTACGTGATAAACCAGTGTGACCTTTCAGTACCTAAATTATGCATCTCTGCAACTCCTGCATAGTCAATGAACCTCTTTTTTATGATTATTGCACTTCAGTCCTGTGAAGTCTAAGGCTGCATCTGTTTCAGATGACATGTTGAACATTGTGTTGTGCAAAGCTTAGTATTTTATTTTATAGCCTTGCTCTGTTTTAGACATCTCCAAAACATCATCACTGAACTTTGTGGTGCATTTCTTGGTCTTCATGAATGATCATTTGTTCACTTACCCCCAAAAAATACAAATAGAGAAAATAGAGGCATGTCGTAGTGATGAGAAGTTCAGGGGGCCCTGAATACTTTAGAGAGGAGTGTATAGATTAGAAGTTATAAATATGATATTTTGTCTGGAAAAAAGGCAGAACAGAAAGGGCAAAGAAAACTAAAAAGTGCTGCACTTGAAAGAGTATTTTGAAATAACTATTTTTGCATTGTCATTCAACTTACCTGCTGCAGGTTTCAGGAAGCATCTTCGCAAGAAATAAGTAAATTCTGGGAAAACTGGGTTATTTAATGCATATCTGTTGTTTTAGGCAAGAAATATAAAAAAATAAAATAAAAAAATAAAAAACTCGACACAAGTAAGATGTGATGTCTATATTCTAAACGGCAGAAGCAGGTGCTCTGGTACCAGCAAGAGATGAGCTTCATTCAGAAGCAGGCTTGTAATGCATGCACATCCTTAACAGTCTGAACGAAATGCTTGAAAAAAAAATCATCATTACAAAGGCAACTATGCCGTGAAGTGCACTGTTGCATTCAACCCTTGAAGCTCCTATCTGCATATGAATACTTTGCAAGATTTACTCATTTGCATTTGAAAGACTGAGAGAATGATCTTAAATAAACATAAATGCTTACTCAACCATACTGAACATCTAATTCTTATAGAAAGGATTATAAAGGATGCCTTTTACACTCACCGTGTACTTCATTAAATCCTGTGTTTATTATCGTTCTACTCTGCAGTGCAAAACTGCTGAGGCTTTCTCAAAAATGTTTTTCTATGCTTTTTAGGTTACCTTTTTTGACTTGTGAGTCATACTTCATTTTTGCTGATCAGATGAATCAGTCCTGACTGAGAGTTACGCAGTTAGATGCAAATCAAAGAAACCACAAAAGAGTGCAAATCTGTGATGAGTGCCACAAACGTGGAGAGGAAGAGATTTCAATGCAGCTCTGCAGTTGCAAAGAAAAGGAGTGAAGAGGAAGACAACAAACAAAAACTATCAAAAAGTCATCCACAAATCACAGTGGACTCTGATTTTTATCTGGTGCCTTAAAAGACGTCATACTTAAATTTTCACACGTAAAAAGATGACCTCATTTATTAGCACACGGCTTATGAATAAATAAATAAATAAAACTGATTCTAACTGCTTAAAATAGAAGGCAACTTGATTTCTTTTTTTTCTTGAAGATATTTTGTCAATGCTCTTAATTTTTAGATTGTGGGCTTTTAGGAGCTGGATAAATCTTTAAGGTGAGAGGTGAAACATAATCAAGAAACAAGAGAAGAAACTTGGTTGCCTTCTGGTTAGTGCCTGTCGTCGTCACGGCCTAGATAAGTGACACCAAGTAACTTATCTTCCTGAACTCAGAACCCTAGGAAACGTTCTTTAATTGCATTGATAGAACAACCATCGACATATCAGGAAAGGCAATAAATTGCAGGCACACAACGTTTTTAACCTCAGAAAGTGAGCAGCAAAAACATCCCAAAATCCTGAAACCTCCACATCCATGGTTTGCAGTTGATATGAGGTTTGCTGATTTTGGCACAAAAAACCTGTCGTGTTGTAATTCTGTCCAAAGAATTACAATATTCCCACATTCAAAGGTCAGACGAAAGTTTTTCCTAAATTCACCAGGCTTCTGATGCTGAGTTGAAACGATATCAAAAGGAAATGTGCTCACAAAGATCATGTAATGAAGTCATTTAGTGATCATAAAGCATTTCTATTTCATAGCCTCTTTTCTGCTTTTTACTCCAGTGCAGATGGATGACCACAGCAGCTGGAGGATGTTGTGTGAACCACCACAAGAATTACTTCTACACTGAAGAAAAAAAAACACAAACAAGCTCGATTTCTAATTTCATCCTCTGGCTTGCAGAGATAAATAGCTTCATACCACTCAACATGAAATAGATAGCAGCCTATATCTCCTCTTTCATTGCCCATCCGGGATCACAACCAACCTCCTCTCCTAGTCTGGTCATTAATTTACTTCCCCTTGGGCTCCACTGTCTACAGCTATTGATCACACAGCCCTCCCAGTGCTAATTTAATGCCTGTGATACGTTCTGTCATGGAGAAAGCAGGAAGGGAGTATTGATTAACGTACAGTTCTGCTGAGGGTACGACAGCAGCACTTTATGACAGGGAAGTAATTAACTCAGCTCTGATCTCCTGTGGTTGAAGGGTCCTTTTTTTCTGCAGTTCACTATGTAAACCATACAAAGAGATCACAATCTCACAGTCAACATTATCAGCATAGGTGCTGATAACAAGTCAGCGTGATTAAGCTTGCCCTGCACACACTTTAACCCTGAATATATTTGCAGTCGTCATGTCATTCTATACCCAGAGCAGCAAAGCCGTTCATGAGGAGTATAAATAATCAAGGTTTCTACTGCTGTTGAACTGAAGTCTTTAATAGGATATGGTAGCTATCCTTTACAGATATGGACCATCACAGTGAAGACTGAAATACAGCCGGTAAAACAGATTTTAATGGTTTTACTGTTAATGTATGGACGCCGTTGGGGTAAAAACCATTACTATGATTTGATTTATGTTGCTATGCTGCCACCTAGTGGCAATAAGGAAGGTAACACTAACATTTTGAGGTAAGAGGTCCATGAGATACTTGGGACGAGGAGGACAAAACAAACAAACAAAAAAAAAAACCCTAAACAGTCATTCATTAGTCTTAGAGGTAAATAAATACTTAAATGCTGGATTTTACTATTTTGGAGACTTGGATTAATTTAGTTTTTGTAGGTTTGTGACACTGTTTTTTTAGTAGATGACAACATACATAATGGCTGCTCAGGTATAGCTAATATCAAAAACCAGTGAAAGACATGTGAGGAGAAAGAAATTTACATGAGGCAATCACATCTTTCTTTTAAACCTTTATTTAAAAAGTATAAAAACTAGGTAATTTGTATTTTTATGACTGAATATAAGGAGAAGTGTAATTGAGACGAATGTTCACTTCTCACTTGAATAATGATATGCATTTCTCAAAGAACTACTTTTTGATCCAGATATCTCCAGCAGGACAAATGTTTTCCTTTATTAGTCAGCAACAGAAAAAGCCAGGAAGGTAAGTCAGAACCTCTTAGACAATTTTAAATTACATTATCATTCCTGCCATTTATATTTACTTCCTAAGGGTGAAAACTTACAGCTTCAGTGTTGACCAAAGTTTTTTCATTCATTCATAAATTACATGTCAACAATAGGAAATCTTGTCAAGTTCTTATCGCTTAATATGTTTAGATGTTAATAAACATGTTCAATAACTTCAACATTTAAATCAAAACATTCATTCAAATGAACAACATTTAATTTGATCACATAAACTTTACAAAGACAATTCATGTCTTTGTAACATCACACTTTTTAAAACAAGAATAAAATTGAAACTAAATGTTGCTAAGAGAAGCAACTTTGGACAAAATATAATGTCTAAATTAATCAGCTCCCAGTTAGATATCACATCAAATCTTCCCCAGCAGGTTAATCATCCATCTGGACTGATTGGTTTATTTATTCTTCTGTAAATGTGAAGGTGGGTCTCTTATAAGGGATTTTTTTTAAAGAAGTATTGATGAACAATGGAAATAAAGTCTAGTGTCTGCTACATATAGGCTCAGACATATTGTAAACAAATAATATCATTTTAATTATTTTCAGAATATTTTAATTAGCTTTTTGGTTTATGTTGTTCAATGAAATAACCAAAACTTGTTTAATGCAACATAAAAAAAAATCAACTAAGTCCTACTTACATGTAAATTAATTGAAATTTGATCTTGAATAGATCATTGCCTATGGCTAGAAAAATATGTTTATATTTGCATTTTTGATGCAACATAGTCTCTTAAAATTGGCCACAATTTTAAACAAATTCCTCTAAATTCTAATGATTTCCTTGCAAAGTTTTCAGAAATTGAAAGTGAGGCATTTTTTTTAAAAATGCTTTCAAAATGAACAGCACAGAGTAAAGAGTGACTTTTATACATCATGTAGGAACAACATAGAGCCTTTTTTACTCTGGTTGGTGGCAGGACTATATCTACTGTAACTGAGTCAGCATCTTGGCAGCAGAAAGTATTTATTCACAGAACAAACTGAGGTGAGATTAATTAAGTTTCAGTCAAAAAGGGTCCAACAAGTCGGTTTACTACCGACTTGTTGGACCCTTTGATCTAAATGTGTCATTACTGAAGCAGCTGTTGTGTTTCAGATTTACAAAAGCATAAATTGCCAATTCATTATGCACCACTAAGCTCAACAAGCACAACAGTCAAAAACTGCATTTACAAAGCATACAGAATAAGTTCTGTTTTTTACATAACATTAAGACTGAAAACAAATCACTGTTATTTGTCCCTCAGATGATGGATAAAATGAAAGGCTTTTACAGAAATTTTTTTAAAAACTTTCAAAAATTGACAGTTTGTTTAAAGTTATATTTTTCATAAAAATTACTCTTTGTAAAACCAGACAAAGACAAATATGTCTAAGCATCCCACAGGACTAATCATTTCACAGAGTTGGTTTCCACTCTCTGGTCACACAGATGATCTTAAAAGTTTTTCCAACACTGGTGTGTCTGCTTTCTGCTTTTTTGGATGAGGATCCGTGGCATCCAGGTCTATTGTAGGAGCCAAGGCGTTTTTAATTCTCTGAGGGTTAAAGGAGATGAAATAGAAACTATCTTTTAGAGAACTACCTCGGACAAATAGTCAGGTATCACTTCTCAGAGTTAATCACACATAAACTAGATTTTACCAAATGATCTCACACTAACAAGTCAACAACAGCCTGAATATAACAAGAACATTCAAATGTAACTAACAAAAATGATAAGAGGCTCAAAATAAATTGTATTTGCTCACCTGAAGAAGTGATCCTTTGCTGTTATAGATCTCATGAACAGCACAAAGGGGGATCCACACTATAGAGACCAGTGAAATGACCCACCCCACTAACTCAGCCCACAGTGGGTACATGTACTCTCCATAGCGAGGAGGCATGTACTGAACAATGCTGGTTACCAGGATGCTCTGTGTGGAAAACAAAGCCAGTCCTGAAGACTGAATTTCATAAGGATTTGTAGCCAAAAACAGGACTTACCAGTATCAGAAGGGGGCAGAAGAGCACCCAGCAGAGGCGGAAGAAGAGGCTCGGAGACTCGCCCCGCATCCTCTTGACCATCAGGGAGAGACGAGAGACTCCTGGCAGAAAGAAACTAAGAGTTGATGTATGAGGACACGGACCACCAGCTGTTAAACTACATATTAGGAGAATAAGTATGTGAGTCTGAATGAGAAAAACATGTAAAATGAGAAGACGTCCTTTAAATATCATCTAACCTTTAGCATGAAATGTGTCTGCCATTAAAATAAAACGTTTGCACTAAAGTCATTAATGGCATTGCAACAAGTTAGCGTTTTATTGTAAAAGGTTGAAGTAAATGTAAAACTTTACCAAAGATCCAGCATACAGCCACTACTTCAAAAAAAGCCAGGAATATGAGGGAAACCACACCAGTGCAGTGATCCATCAACTGGAACACGTAAATGCCTCCCTAGAGAAAAGGACAGTAAAGCTTAAGAAGCAAGTGTTATCAGCATTCCTCATCCTCAGATGTGTCTTCTCAGCTAAATATGAAGAAAGGGTATGTCTTTTTCACCTGAGTTACATGAGGGATTCCCAAAAGAAGCCCCACAAAACACACAACCAGAACAAGAAGCTCTTCTCTCTTCAGGTACCTAAGAACTTTGACTCCAAACTCGTCCTTCAAGAACGTCACGACCACCTCCACGTTGCCAAACTGCAGAAAACACCCGTTACTCACTCTGAGCCATAACACTATTACATTTGTGACAAGGATGTCCTCAGAAAATAGTGCCAGAGGAGCACATTTTAATTGGTGAAAGCTCAATGATAATCAGATCAAATAGTGCAAAAAAGTTTATTTTCTAATTCTTTAAATGGATCAAAACTCAGATCTTCTACCATTTTCAGTCCATAAAAACATCAACCAACACCAATGTTTTCTGCCATCTTTTAGGATGCCGCTGCTTTACATTTAAAATGGTTAGCTTCTGAAGTACCTTCATAACTATGGTAGCAGGAAACAAAAGTCTGCAAAAAGTGAAATATTTTTAATCCAGTTATTATGCATCCATGACTAAGTTTGTGCATGAAGATGATGTTGAACTACTGTAGATTTTGAAACCCCAACCTGAAGAGCATTTTATAGCCTGTTTATTTTTCCATTACCTTACCCACTCGCTTCTATGTTAAAGAACAAAACAAAGATAATACTTGGCAGGATGCTGAACCTCACATTACTTTTGAGCAGTGTGTGTGTGTAAGAGGAAAAGTGCAGGGTTTCTATCATGTCATTAAAATACTGTGAATGAATGTTTATAGAGCGTGCAAAATATCATAAATGATCAACAAAAGTAAAAACTACTGCTTAATAAATTCAGCCTAGTTACCATTTGTGTGTGCCATGAGAAGGATTATAACACAGAACTTAGATACACATGTGTGAATGCTTTCCAAATTATTTTAATAAATAAGACTATGATGACTCTAAAAGTTATAGATAAAAAAGAAAAAACAAACATTTTATGGCTTATAATTTTAAAAGGTGAAGAGATGCAGATGTTTACTTGACTGTCGAGACCAAGACACAGCAGCATGATGAAGAATAGTGGAGCCCAGATCTGATAGCCAGGCATAGTGGAGAGAACTTCAGGATACACAACAAACACCAAACCAGGACCTGAACCAGTCAAAAACAAAGTTTTTGTGAACTGTAGACAGAGAAAAACAACTGTAGCCTTCTATTAGCTGAACCACAATGTCCTTTTTGTATATTACCATCTTGTCAAAAAGTAGAAGGAAAAGACCACCGTGCAATTAACTTACTACTCACTCATATTTTGTCATGTTACAAACACAAACTTTAATGTTTCTTATGCAACAAAAACTTTCTTATTTATTCAGTAGAAGAAAAATATATATATATATATATCTTGTTTTCAAAATTGTGTGTATTCATCCACTTTAAGTCAGTGCTCGAGCCTTAAATGCATTTACAGCTGCAAGTCTTGTGTGATCCGTCACCACAAACTCTGCATATTTGGAGAATGAAATAGTTGCCCACTCTTTTTTACAAATTGGCTCAACCTCTTACTGCCTGGATGGGAAGCATCTGCAAAACATTTATCAAGTCTTTCCACATATTCTTAATTGGAGTTAGGCCTGAACCTAACTTGAAAACAAGCACAACCCATCTCCCACACTATTTTTTATTGCACCCGAACTAGCTGAAAACACCGACAATCCCTCAAATTTTATAGAACTCCCCAAAGAAAGCATTGATTAATAACTGTTTGTACTGAGTACTACTGAGTAAGGGTGAAGTTAAAATTAAAAATCTCTTTTCGTAAAAGTATAGATTTAAATGAAAAGGTACTGGTCTTTTAGCTACTTTTTAAAGTTTCTGTCAAGTTGATCCAGTGGAAACAAATGGTAACAACTATTCCAAGTAAAATGAGAAACATCTTGTATCTTTAAAGAATGTTTAGCAAAATAAAACCATTCACTCTAAAGTCAAATTTAGTCTTTTCAAAGAAGTCAGTACACTACAGGGTACTCTTCTTGACTCGGTTCTTACCATCTGTAGCTATGTTGTCCACTGGTAGATTGTGTTTAAAAGACATGTAGCCAATAGCTGAGAAGATTACAAGGCCAGCCAGGATACTGGTGAAGGAATTGACTAATGATATTATTAACACATCCCTGCAAAACAACAAATTAAATTTTGCAGTCCACTGATAGAACCTGAAACATGATATGATTGTCACAACTGATTATCAATACAACTGGTTTAATGCATGCTCTGTGCTGGTAATGGATGTTATTGTTTGACTAACAATGAACTATAAAACATCCTCTAAAACATATATGGATGAAAAACACTTGACATTGAAAATTAGCTACTCTGTGGTATCTGCACCATTCAGAAATCCAATAAATCTGAGCTGTTTCCTAAAGTTTAAGATTAGAAACTACTACGGAAACTGTTTATGTGTATCAATGGTCTATATTTAACCTAAATGTAAATACTTATGGGTAAGTACATGAGATCTTTCAGGAACTTCGTAGTCCAAAATATGAGCAAAATCTTTGGTCACAGTACTTTGGTTCTCTTTATTTATATAATCATTTATTTTTGTTTTGTTTGCAGTTCTGATTTATTTAAGGTTTTTTACACTTAAAGAACTTAACAATAAAATAAAAAATTTTTTGTACTTAAGTCTTTATGTGTAAGGAACATAAAGATGCTAGTCTGAGAAAAAATTTAATATTTTTTCTCAGGCTAATTATTTTATAATTAGGGAAAGGCCCTAATTAATTTAATGTAATTAGTGTTTATCATTTGTGCTATTTTCTGTACATAAATAACAGTACATTATTTACACTATTCCCTAACCAGTGAATAGTCATTATGAGGACAAATTTGCTCTCTTTCTTAGAAAAAACCCACTGAACATGTTGGTGGTACATCATGCATACAACAAAGCTTTTATTTGCTAAATACAGTAAAAACAAACAAAAAATAAGTCATATTATGATTATATGAACTTGTTGTAGCTAGCCATTGAAATCATGCAGCCGAAGGCAACTCCCAGTGAGTTAAACACCTGGGCAGCTGCATTGACCCAAACCTACAACACAGACAGAAGAAAACAACAGAGTTATATGTTTTTATTTGATTTAGCTTTACTTTCCTTTGCTTTATTTCTTTATGTTCACAGAGTCATATTTCAAAACAACAACACAGAGATTAAACGCACTTAATAAATATTGCTCTTACTGCCACAGCAAGTCAAATCTGCTCAAAATGTTTCATTTTACAAACAAAAACAACACAAAAAAACACCAAAAGGGGGATTTTGGATAATTTGATTTTAGACTGCAACCAATTAAAGGTATGTGTTGTTTACCTTTTGTATTTTTGACATCCTGATGTTTGCTAAATTTTGAACAGAATTAGTCTAATAAGAAATCACTCAAAAAGAAATGGAGACATGTTAAATGTCTGACTTATCCACAAAACATGGTTATAAACTCTAACAATATCTGTTAGTTGTTGCTTCGTTGCCCTCAGTCTCACCTTGATTTCAAACAGTTTGCTCCAAACAGGTGTTATAAAATAAAGGATACCCTCCTTTGCTCCGGGCAGCTGGACATTATTGATAAGCAGGGCGAACAAGATAAAGTAAGGAAAGACAGCAGTGAAATACACCACCTATGTGGCACAAAAAAGAAAAAAACAACATTGTTGAGTTTGGAAGACTCCATGTTCAGAAGGTTAAACTTGTGGATGCCAGCTTTGTAAGTCATGTTACCATCATTGCCTGATATTTAATGTGATTTATGATACATGAAAGAGTGACGTAAACTGACAGAAGAGATATATAAGAAGGGAAATAAAATTTCACAGCACTATGCATGTAAACTGGGTGAAAAAAAAATGACTCAAACCTTGCCTGTGGATTTGACTCCTTTAAATATGCATAAATAAATGATGATCCATGAGAGAAGAAGACAGCCAAATGCTTCCCACTGTAGGCCACCAGCTTCTTCAATCCCACTGGTCTTCCCTAAAAGTTTGTGACTGGGGGTGCGGAGAAATTAAAAAGGACATTAATATTTCTACATCTACATCTCTTCCTTTTCCTTCCTGAGCAACAACAGATGAGGTTGATCTTTGCACATAAAGAATGTGACATGCTTATGTTTATAGGTGACACAAGAGTAGAAATTATTTAAAACTTAAAATTACATAATTTGAGTAAGTGCTTGTAAATTAAATGTAATTGGAGCAGGAAAAAACTTTAGGCTTCTCACTCAAAGAACTGCTGGCTTGAAGACTGCAGATGGGTGGCATTGCCAGGAAAACCGCTGGAACAGTTTCCAACGACATTCCAAGTGTTGTTGCAAGACGACCAGGGGAGAGTTCCTCTGAATGAGTTGAACAAGTAGAAAAAGGCCCAGCCCATGAGCACATTGTAGAATGTGCAAAAGACAAAGGAGATTACAACTGTGGCCAGACCTACACCTGTGGAATGACATTTGGAGGAACAGGTGGCAAAGTAAGGCAGGATTCAGGACAAGTCGTGCAATACGTGCTGAAGAGGTTAAACATTTCACCAGAAGCATTACTTATTATTGTCATCCTATGAAAAACGTACTTTCTGGAGGTTGTTGAATATAACAGCAAGAGGGGATCAAAGTTCTGCAATAGCTGTAAGTTATTTAATATGTAAACCATTGTTGTTCCAGTCCTGAGTGGGTCAGGTTTCAGACTGCATAAACTGAGCAGTGATCCTGCAGAAAAATGTCCCTCACCAACAAAATGTAGCTAAACTTAACATCCAGGGGAAAAATTAGGATGCCCCATTAAACATTCAGTGCTGTTTTTATATCAGTGTCCAATCTTATTTTTTATCTTTGGAAAAGAACATGAATAAATTAATAATTCTACCTAAAAGAAATAAATAATTTTTTTAAAACATTTTTACTCATTAAAGAAAAGTGTTTTCCAGCTAAAAGAATATGTTAAGATAGCCAACCCTTGCATAGCCATTCTCACTCCATTTGAATGAAAAAAAAAAAACTTTCTTAATATGCTGCATAAATTTATCAGCTATTCTCTAACACTGTTCTGAAGAAAGCTTATCCCAGTTATTGTTCAGCACTCATCTTTATACATTTGGCTCCACATTTTTCTCATTCATCTTTTAATCCACTGTATTCATGGTGGATTACATGATCTTTCTAATTTACTACATTTTACAGGAAAGTTCAAAAAGCATTTCCTTTAGTTTCTGTATGGCTCAAAACTTGATTTTTTTTTAAAGATTGCTAAACTGGATATTGATGTTAAATATACAAGTTTCAAGAAATGTAGTGAAAGACAAAGTCAGTTTTTAGTGGTTTCAGTCAAATTGCAATTTGTTCCTTTGACTTGTTCACATCACTGTGGTGGGCTACAGTCTTAATAATACTCTTGATTCAGCCCTGGGTTGATGTTTAAAGGGACAAGTATGACAGAAATAGATGACAGGAATCAATCACAGAATAACTATTATATTAATTAGTTACTCAGCTGCTATGGTTTAATGTTTCTCTTAAGAGAGACAGTGTGTGCAGAAAGATTTTTCTAGATTTTGCAAAATATTAGATGTGTGCCGATCGATTAGCCACTGATCATAATCGGCTGATTTCCTTAAAAACATGTATGATCTGTGATCACAGATCACGGTCTCCTGTTGCTGATCACCGAAACCGATCACATTTATCTCACTTCGAAATTAATCAATGCACATCACTCATTATCCATAGCTGCATGTTGGGCTAACACATTAAAATACCAATAAATACAGTAAAACTTATAAGAGTAAAATAAGTATAGTCCCTCAGTACCTTGAGCTGTGTTTAAAACAGAAGAATGAAAATGAGTGGCACAATTAAATCATTGACAAGGGCAGATAGGAAACAAGCTACCTGCTTTTGGCCCTTGTTTAGCACAGAGCAATGATCAGGAAGAAACGAGCAATAAATCAAGTGAAGGATCCAAATGTTTTGACCGGGTAGATTATCTCTGTTTCACAAGAAAACTTTGGAGAAAAAATCTCATGTTAGAACAAGACAGATATCATTTTTATAGTCACAGTGTAATCTGTAATCGATAGTAATCTGTGTGCTGGTTTGATGCAAGGTAATGCGTCATAAATAAGGCATGTGTGAATTTTTACGTTCAGCAACAAATCATATTTGAAGTTTAGAAAAAATTTCAGATTAAAAGGAAATTTATCTAAAAAAAAAAGCTAGTTTTTTTTCATTAAATTTGGATTGATGATCCACACATTGATCTTAGCAATTAGTGTTAAGCTTCATAATGAACTGACTTTTTTTTAAAATTCACAATTAAAAATATTCCTGTTAACAAGCTCTCATCTATCAACAATAAGAAGTTGTCAAAGTGAAAAAAAAAGGATATTTACAAGCTTAATAAATGTTGAATACAATTATTTGTGTAAAACATAAAGGAATAGATCATTTATAGCTCTACGTAGAATTTTCTTTTTATATGGCTATGGTGATTTTCCATTGATGTCAGTGAACATAAAGACACAACCTACATATAGCAATATCTCAATATTTATTTAGCCTTTTCACAGAAAGAGTGAGGATTTGACAGATGAATGAAATCCATTCATTGCACATGCATAGAAAAACTTGGAACCAGTCGAACAAAAACTGATTTATGACCAAACTGAATACACTTTTATGTTAAAAAGAAGGTTTGAAAAGGGTGCAGATCATTAATGGAGTAAAAGTGTAGGATGTATTTGTCCTCTGGCACAAAAACTCATCCTATTGAAAAAAAACATGATCTACTCTACTTTTTTGTGTGATCCATTGCGACGTGTTTGTTTTTCTCATTCATGGGTGACTTCATTCTGGGTACAGAGCACGTACAAGCAATCTTGCTTTACATTTTCTTTGAATCCGCCTTGGTGACTCATTGCTCACCAAATATATTTCAACGGTGACTCAAATCTTGCCTGCTTTTCCATGTTCACTGGCCCTGGAAATGTAGATAACTTTTTCTATAATATTTAGCAGATTATTTAGCCCATAACCTCAACTCAAATTCAGGGATTGATCATGATCAAGAACATTGGCATGAATTTGAGCCTTTTTTCTGTGGAGGGAAAAAAATCTATATAATACAAAAGTTTCAGCTTTTGAATGGAATTACTTTTTTCCACTTATTCTAACTTATTGCAATGCAATAAAACATTATAAAGGGTTAACATTTTGAGCACAAATTTGAATGTGAACCTAGAAGATATTTATCAAATTTCTAAATTAATCAATCCCACCAAGTACTTATATGCTTTTTACATGCAAAGTCCAAGTTTTCTTCATTTTCATGTGTGAATGCAAAGACTCCGATCAGAGGTTTATCTTCACCAGAACAAGCCTCTGTCAGTGAGAGGGACACTTACCTTTAGAGAGGGGGCAGATCTTGGCGAATGCATGCACTGGCCCTAAACGAGTAAACTGGCCAACAGCAAACTCCATGAAGAGCAGGGGAATGCCGCAAAGGAAAACCATGACCAGGTAGGGGATGATGAAGGCACCTGAAGCAAAAGGTTACGAAATATTAATATTGTGACCGTCCTAAAATAATGGCCTATGTCTTTTTTGTCAAAAGTGACTGTTAAAAAAAAGAGGAATAAAAAATCCACACCATTGTTTTTTTTTTTGTTTTTTTTTACCAAAATATTAATTTAGAAAAATAACTATTATTTTTGGAAGGCGACAGTTTAAATATGTGAATAATTACTAAATAGGGCTGATTTCTAGAAAACAGTTGCAGGAAAATGTTTGAGGAGATTTAAGTGGAACATTTTCTCAGAGTAAAAATGTAAGTTCAGAATTTACTAGATCATCCCTAAAGATAACTAGACAACAGTTTTTTGTGGTTTGTCAAACCACCTGCAAAGTTTCAGGTTTTCACACAGTGAAATGTGCTCAATATAATTAACTGTCTGTGAAATTAACCTGCAGAAAAATCATGACTCATGGAGGACTGCTAAACCCCAATTCCACCTGCAATGAATTCAGCTTAAAACCACATAAAAAATTACATAATGATGGTTTGGCCTTCACATGTTGAGACTTCAGACTTTTGTTTTGTGATGAATGATGACAAATCATCTTCTGACAAACTTAATCTTTAGTGGATTACATACCACGATGCGAATGGCTTTAGCTGGAAGAGGTTCCACTCAGTTCAGAGTAAAATTTTCCACTACTGTGTGACTTACAAGTTGTAAATATCTTTCTGGTTTTCTCTGACTCCCTCTCAGGGATATTTAACTGAAAAATAACATAATTTGTTCAGTGATGGCACACAAATCATTTGTTTTCTTGTCTGATTACAATAAACTAGCAAAGTAAAAATGTATCTTTCTTTTTAAGGAAACTTTTGAGATTGTGCAAATTTTTTTCTATTTCCATTTAAAACCACAATCAATTTAATAGACACAATAAAGACGTGTGTTTATTTTTTCCACTGCAATGACAGTCAATGAACATTAGGCTGCTTATTTAGTTCAGATTTTCTTTAGAAGTGTGTGGACAAATTTGTTCATTGATTTATATTCATTGTTTATTTTGATGGTTCCTGCCCTAGTTTCTCTCTCAGCCTGATTCAGACACATTAGCATCCTTTTATAACTTGCAGAACAGATTATTTGGTTGCTCTCATTTCTGGTCTACCTAAAGAGGCAGCTGCTTCAAACCTCTCCTGCTAGAATGTCAACCAGGACCCAAATAAGTATTTTATACAACTCTGTTTTTAAAATGTCTGCATTGGCCACCAGTGGATTTTATTGGTGATTTTCTTACTGGTATTTCTAATCCCTAAATATCTAAACCCAACCCATTGATCAGATTTTCTCCTAATGGAAAGTGGAACAGCCTTCCTGAAACCCACAGGACAGCTAAGCGTTTACGTTTTTAATGGCAAACAAAAACCCATCTATTCAGGATGGTTTTAGTTGCGGTTCATAGCTATTTTTAATAGGTTACCTTACAGTTTATATCAGCAGTGGTATTTTTGTTGGTGAACTTGGCATGAACTTTAATATGTTTTAAGAATATTGTTCTTAAAACACTTTTTTAGATTTTAGTGCTATTTATATTTGTCACTTGTCTTCAGGGTTTTTTTTATTCATGTTATTTAATCATTTTATCTTTTGCATGATGCAATATATACATATGAAGTATCATCAGTGTTTTCTACATGATTGCATTTGCAAAGTTTAACATTCTGTACAATTGATCTATTGATCTCACTTTGATCCATTGATCCATTGATCTCACTTTGAGTTGATCATTGTTTCATTCATGATTGCAGCGGTACGCGCCATCTGACAGTCTCACCTCCGCCGCTGTTGTAACACAGATAAGGAAACCTCCAGACGTTTCCCAGTCCCACTGCGTATCCCACAGTGGCCAGGATGAAGTCCAGCTGTCCACTCCACGTGGGTCTCTGAGCTCCTGCATCCACAGGACCGTCGGTCCTGGCTTTGGCACCTGACAGTGGCTTTGAGTTTTCCTCTGCGAGCTCCATTGCAGCTGGAAGAGATGAACTAAAATCTAACGTGTCTTTGGGATTGTAAACAAACTGCGCTCTCCAATAAACGCTCCAAAGCTCTGATGTTTGATTCAAATTCGGCTTATGTGAGATCGTGTACACCCAAAGAACCTCTTAAGATCAGAGAAGCAGAAAGTCAGTTAGTTACTTTCCTGAATTTAGTGTTTTATCTGAACAGAGCTGTTTTGAAAGGCAGGGGGGGCAGAAAATGTCCGTGTCAACCTGACCGCCGGGTATGATTCCCCTTTCGCTCAGCCCACTGTTATGCAACGACCAGTGGCGTCCTTAACCAAACCGTCTGCACAGGTCTGTGAATCTGCATGCAACGAGAAGTGCATAAGGCACGCCTTTCATTCAAAAAAAAAAAAAAAAAAAAACTGCCCAGGTTGCAGCGTTACATGACCCAGCCAGGTGTTACCTTATATATGTTACATATATAACCTTCAGATTATGTAACTCTGGAGGCGATGTTGAGAAACTACAATACAAGTGATCACGTATTTTGACGAGAACGCCACCTTATCTATACTAAACAATAAAAGCCCCTCCGTCATTAAATTGACTCTTTCACTTTATGCCCATTACACACAGTCTGAATTGATCATCCCAGAATTTACACAGACAGCATTATGCACTATTACACAACCAGGTCAAAAGTACAGTTAAGTTACACATTAATGTATATAGTGATAGAAACGAGTACAAGACAATGAATAGCCTACATCTGCATCACAGTGCTCTTTGCAGTTCTAATTTATTTATAGTGTTGTGCACGCAAGGTACAAACTCATTTACAACAAATAAGTTTGCTTAACAACAAATGTGCTTATCTCTAAAACAATGTCATCAGCAAAAAACTCAGGTTCACCTCAGAACTGTTCAATTTGGAGACATTTTCAGCAAAGAATTATATGGAAATGAATAACATTTGCTTCACAACATTTGTGTCTGTACTGACTGAAGGAATTAAATGAGGAGTTTTAGTTTTAAGGACAATGATTTAATGTGCATAATATAGCCGACTTCAGTTTTCCCACCAGGTTTAGTTTAAGTGAATTTTCGTCCTGACTATGGCCATAGGAATTGAAATTAAAACTGTGGTTCTTCTGCATTTCATAAGAGGGTGACATTGTTTTTTAATTTCGCCCATAACAATTTAAGTCCTTATTCAAAAACTATTTTTGCTCATTCTATAAACCTACACATATTTTATCTATAAAAAAATGTAGAAATCTTTCGGGGTGCACATATTTTTCCCAGCTCTGCATGCATGCAAAAATTCAGTTGCTGAGATTCCATAACATTAGAGGACTTATGTTAATGCAAATATTTATCTGGTAAAAACAACCACACAGATATACTCAGGCCTTCAGTCACTTTTGAATACCTACTAAAGATAATATGTGCGATGAAACAGTAGAATCCAAAGAAAGTCTGCATGTGCTTCTAATAAGCTGATAACTAAAGTACTGCTGATAAAGTCATGGTTGTCAGAGACGAGGTGCAGACAGTCGCTTGAATGACGCACTATAAAGTGTTCTAACAAAAATAATTCACATGTACGGAACATGAATAGGACTTGATGCATGGACAAAATGAAAGAAGCGAAAGAACAAAAATAAGGATTCAGCAATGAACAGCAATTAATCACGAACTGAAACACTGAGTCAGGGATGTAAAGTGACCAGATAAACTAATGAGTGGAAATGTAGCGTAATGGTGGGAGGATGAACAGCATGGAAACTGAGGGAGAGACGAATTAAAACAGAGGCTCTTTTAATTAAAAGAAGAAAAAGCCACTTAGTCTAAGAAACATACATTTACATACAAAAGAAACAGAGCTAAACTAAGAAACTAAACCCAGGTGTGTTAACTGGTATGGCATCACCCAAAATACAAAAATAAACAAATTGAAATTGTTTGAATATGGCAAGACAAATACAAATGGCCTGTATTTGTACAGTGATTTATCAAGTCCAGATGACTTCATAAAACACTATACAAGTGTTTTATCACTTGTACAGTGGCTAACTGTACAAGTGATAAAACTTGTACAATTTATCAACAGTTTACACACTACATTCAGTTATTCGCACATTATAGAAGTCACATTTTCCACCAGAAAGTGATGAAACATAATCAAAAACCCAGACAGTGAAAGGCTGTGACAAACAATGTCAAACTCTCCTCTCCATTTACTCCCTAAGAAGAAACTATTATTCATAACACTTCCTGTGGGTGTATGCTCGTGTATCTTCAGCGTGTGGCATTACTGTCGCACGGCCTTCAGATGGCGTCGACGTCCCTCCCCGTTCACGTTTTGTCTCCAGCTTGAGCCCTTTTCTGCCTCCAGGTGCTGCAGCTGAGCCTTTCCGCTCTCCGTACAGGAATGTGGCGACCGCATTACGTCACTCGTCCTGCCAGCGAGCAAGAGAAGCAGCTCGGTCCACCAGGAATTTGGTCTTTGTGTTTGTGTTTGTGCGCAGCTTTAAAAAGAGGGGGCTGGTGGGGGGGATTAGTGTTTTTCCTGCTGATGTATTGAGAGCTGAGTGGAGGTCTGGGATGTGAACGAGAGGCGGCTCATGACAGCCCCGCCGCTGCACAATGAGAAGCTTGTAGAAGGAGCTCAAATCTCGACGACGCTCTCGGTGGAGTCGATGGAGGAACCAGAAAGTAAGGAGAGCTTCAGGTTGTTGTTCTACAACAAGGCGAGGTTGTTGTTGTTGTTGTTTTTTGTCTTACCGGAGCGAACCGTTTGTAGCGCTTTACAAAGAGGAGCCACCTTTCAATTCATACGCTTTTCTACGTTTTATCTCTTCTTCATTGTTAGGTTTTGGTTGATTGAATTGAGCTCGGCTTCTTTTTCTCACTGATTTCAGACTGTTTTTTTCCCTCTCACTTCATTAACTGAACACTTGCTTCTTTGCAGGTAATTGTTACTGTGCGGGCTGTGGAGGAAAAATTCAGGACTCGTTGCAGATGAAGGTCCTCCAGGATACCTGGCACAACGCCTGCTTTCAGTAAGTGATCCCAGGTTAGGGATTTTTTCTTTTCTTTTGTTTTGTAGGGCGGGGAGGCACGCTCATGCAACCTTGAGCTCGATTTTAGTCTCAGCAAATAAATAACAATAAAAAAGTAGAAACGCTTTTAAACCTTTTATAACGTGGATGATCCCTGATCCCGCTGGTATATTTGTGCACAACCCCCAACATGGAGCCAGACATTCCTGCTGGTGTCACAGAGCAGGGGTTGGTGATGGTCCTGCTCTTCTGGAGGACTTTGTCCTTGTGTACTGAGGCTTAATGATTGCCTCAGTGGTGATGCTGCTTACACACACACACATCCTGGCCCTCACAGCTCAGGATGTGTGTGTGTTTGGGGCAGTGAACCTACACTCGCAGGTGAATACCTCGCATGCCTACCTGATAAAACTCTCCACAGGGTTTCTCCTTTTATAATGTTCCTTGTTGTTTTGAATTTGCGCTTCAAACAGCGGGGGGAAACGCAACTTAAAAAATGAGCTTTTTTTATCATTAATGTTCAGGTCCTCTTGCATGTTTTAGACGTAATTGCAGAAGAGAACACATTTACAGGTGAATGTGCTGTTTTGGGTATGAAAATATAATAATTTTGTGTTGTGTACACTAATATGTCAACCCCTTTTCCACTTCAAACTTTTTCAGCTGTAAGATTAACATTTAAGGTTTTTTTTTATTTTTTTTACAGGTATTCAAAGAGGGAACAGTGCATATTAAAAGAGAAAAACTCTATAAATGTAAAAAGATTGACATAACCGGCTGATTTTTGACGTGGTTCCAGTCGTTATCTAATCTGAGTTGATAAGTTTCATGATGCCACAGGTCTTTCAAGCTTAAAAGAAAAGTAAACCCAAATAATAAAAATGTCCACCCAAAACAAAAAAAAAAATCTGTTTGTTGAATATCAAACTGGGAATTAAACAATTATCAAATATCATTTTGTAGATTATGCATGCGGTAAATTATTCACCACATTTATATTTTAGGGCTAAAAACTGCTTCTTCTTATTGAAATGACTACTAATATATACAAATAATGTTTGTCACTTTATTGAAATAATTTAAATTGTTACATTCAAAAATTTAAGACAGGAATATTACTTGATTGAGATTTAGTGTCTTCACCTGACTCTAAAACGGTTTTATGCTCTTTAAAGACACCGACTGCAGTAACAAATTAAACCTCTTATCTCATTCAAATGACCTGACACCATAACTTTGCAACTCGCCTTTTTATTTGTACTTCATACATAATTCTTTTACCCCCACTCTGTCTTAAAGCTACATTTCTAAGAGAGTTGCAGAGCTTGACATGTTTTGCATGTGTGTTTGTAACTCGGCACCTTCGTAAACTGACACCCTTATCTCTGGTGGCATTCTTTGCCAGACAATACATCTTAAGAAAGCAAAAATAAAACGTGTCCTTGCTGAGAGAATATGCAGTGTTTTCTTTTTTTCCATTGTCCACACGTTGCCTGCCACTTTGCCCTACTCGCACCTCCACCTTGTGTAACATTCCTGTGAGCGAACGTCACGCCTGTTCCAGTAAACCTGGTGGTGTTACTGAGTCCCATAGGTAACACTGCATTAGCCTGTGCTGCATTCTGCATTCCTAGACGGCGATTCAGATCTGTGAATTGCTGTTTCAGACACCACCAAAGTCCTTTTTTTTCCCTTTAACAAAGCAAGCCACTTAGCTTTTGTTTCTCACTTTGTGTGGAGTGCTGGAGATCTTTTCGAAGTTTGCCACAGTACAGGGTGGAGCTGCTTGGCCTTCTTAATTCACCTTCATTTCTTTCTTCTGCTGTATACAATTTCAAAGATTAGAAACCCCAGTTAACATGCAAAGACGTTTTTCACCACTATATTAAAAAAAATGTGCTTAATTCATAATCTTTCTTTTGCAGGTAAATGTGCAGAGGTTGAATTGGATTGGTGATGAACAATATTTCTGGAAAGTCAAGAAATGAATGATCAGCATTTTGCTTGTTGCTTGCGTTGAACTTATTGGAGTCCTTGTGACTTTGCTGTGGTATAAACCAAATATGTTTCTTACAGCTCGAATAAGCTGACATTTTTCTTTCACGCATGCCAATTAAAATCACTGGTGACAGATCGAGCTTCATCTGAGGCTAACAAAGTCTTTTGGGGATGAGCGATGCCCTGAAATGTAGGACATTTGCAGATGTTTTAAGCCCCATTGGTCACGTCTCTCCCTCTAAATACCAACAGGAATGTGGGTTTTAGGAAATGAGTAATGTTTGCTTTGTAGTGTTTGTGCAGCAATGGCAATGCCATTGTTTCCTTTAGAGCCACCTGAATTAATGTTCTCTGCCTTCATTGAACAGTGTGTAGACGAAGGAATCAGGTGTTTTTATAGTGACACTTGCATCATCTCATTCAGGTATTATGTGGACATAATTACAGTGTTTGATTGTTTTATGGGAAAGTGCTTTTCTCCTTTTTTCTGTTGCACTCTGTTGACACTCAACGTCATATTTTTCTCATTTTAATCTACTTTTTGTTCCGCCTGACAGTTTAAGCATAATAGTATCACCTGATAACTCCAGTCCAGGCTGAGCTGCTATGCTTTTCTAAATGTATTTCTTTAAGCAGGGCAATTTTAGGGTGATAATGAACCACTAAACATAGATGATCATATAAACAGGTTTTAACCTATTTTTAAAAATCAGAACCATCTAAAGTCTCATGTCAAAGAATAGTTGCTGACATAAATTAACTACAACGGAATATTCAAAGCTAATGGTTGGGATCCACTGGAATGTCTTTATTCCCTCCTCACACAATGTGGTTCAATCTTCATCTATAAACAAAGGTTCTTTTCATCTCTGCATTCACCATGCAAACTAATCACTCACAAGATAGGAAAAGGATGTGAATGTTATTAAGATACTTTTAGTCTGATGTTCAAATTAAGCTCACATTTAGGAATGTGAGCTTTCAAAGAAGCTCCTTCAGATTCATGATGAGGCATAAAACCTGCTGAAACTGCTGTTTTTAAGTTTGACTGGATAATTTGAACCATTAGACTTTAGAAGGACCCTTACTGAGGTATGAGGCAGGATGTTCACTAATCCATCATGAGGCAGGCTTTCTAAACAATAGAAATTCTTACTCAGGTTTCCAGAAAACCATGAAACAGTCACAATTTCCCACAAACTGCTTCAGATAAGGTTCAATGGGAAATTATGGAAGTTATAGGATTATAGCTCGCCTTATGAACTCATATTCTTGGTACGTCTCTTAACGCAAAACGGAGGAAGAGAATCATGCTGTGGGACACTTTGTATCCTGTAAAAAAAAAACTTTCCAGTTCGCAGCTTTATATTTCTGTTTCTTATATTCACTTTAATTGATATTGTGTAATAATCTATATTTTCTGAGAAACTGAATTCAGGATTTTAATTAGCCATATGCTAACGTGATCAACATTATCAAAATGAAATACTTGAAATATCTTTCTATGCATATAATGCATCTATGTAATAAATACATTTTACTTTTTTAATAGTTAATTATTGGATCTAAGTAGGGGTGTGGTAAATGTTCATTTACCCATCATTCTGGCAATTAATTGAGTAATCAAATAAAAAAATTGATCAAATAAAATATCCACTGGTAAATACTGCTATAACAGCAGTATAAATATCAGATATCAACATCAGTCCAAATTTACATATTTCTGCATCCCGAACAATTATTTTTCTGTAGTTTAAAAAAAATTAAATCACAGTAGCTCACTTTTTAAGTTAACCTGGACAAAAATTATGCCAAATTATGTTCTGTTTAATAATAAAGCAGCAGGCTCACAAAGACACTTATAAAAATATCTATACTCCAGTTAAGTGTTGATCTTCAGTCAGTTAGATCAACTCTCACTTTGCTAAGTTATTTATAACTGTTGTGAAGATGTGTGTGACTAGACTTGGCAGCTTCATCACACACAGAAACATGTGTACCGCCACAGTTCTCTCTGCCATCCATTTGATGCAACCAGGATGGTAGGAAATGCATTTCCTAGTTTGTCCATTAAGCTACATTTATGCTAAGCATGACCCTCCACTCTACCAGCATGGACACACTCCGAGAAAGGAGGAGAAAGGCTGTTGCATTACAAACATCGCATCATTTTAAGGATGCCTATTGATCCCCCCAAAAAACAATAAAATCCAGACATTATCAATCAATGGAATCCTGCTGGTTCTCCTGGACTGAACTTGAAAATTGGACATGTTATGTTGCTAGCACTTAGCAACTCATAGAAGTGAAAATGTTGCGTAACTCAAATAATCACTCGGCCGGAACATGGCATATTAGATAGTAATGAAGCTTGAAGTTTTAATAATCAAATCATTCGAGGAATCATTTCATCCCTAGATCTAAGTAAGAATGAGAGAGTATACCTAGTCATTGTACTTTATGCTTTATTAGCATCTATTAAAACTATCCATTGGAAAGTTTGCAAGTTGTAAAATCTAAAATTAAACTACTTTTCCATCTTCTGCTGTGAGAACTAAAGGCACTGGAGAAATGCTTTAGAAAAATGTATATTTTACAATAGCGTTCTCAGCCATTTTTTTTCTTTATTGGGCTACACACGTAAACTCTCAAAGTTTTACAAACGTTTTTACGTGATGCCAGCTGTTCTGTCCAAGTCATTGCATTTACTGGTACTAAAATTAAACAATTTTTGGCCCCTTTTTACTTACATCAGATGCTTGGCCTTTAAAACAGCTGCAACCGCAGGCATTATTACTCATGTAGCCTTCACCTCAGCAAACTTTGTTCTCCTTTTTGACTCATCAAATCACAGTGAGTTGTCTCAAGCCAGAGTCATTTTGCTGACCTCTGGTTTATCTTCAACGTTTTTTCTTCACATTTTTTCTGGAAGCAGTAACACTTGTGTCTCTGCATGTTGACGCTTTGCTGTTCTGCCTGCCTGAGAGCCAGTGATTTTATTTTTTTTTCCAGTTCCCTGCATTTCTCTCTGCAATTGAAACAAAACCATCTGTTCCTCCGCATGCAGGACAGCTCCTTCTAAAGTAAAGCCAGATAACTCTGAAATATCTGTATGTGGTGCCAAAGTCAATGATCCAGGCTCAACCATACCTACGGTACAGAAAGCAACGTGATGTGCCCCTGTCACATGTAGGCTGCTGAAAACACACAAAAACAATTTAAAAATGCTGATAACCTATGCTTACTTGCACGAAGGATCAATTAGGTCCCCTTTCACTCTTAAGAAATCTGTACATTGACCATATGCCCACCTAAATTAAAGAACGTTGTCAATCTGAAGATCAGTATAGTTTTTTTATATTTGAAAACCATCCTGAAGGCCTTGATGCGTACTAAATGCTGGTTGCTCTTTTGGTGTTTTTGTTCAATTTCACCATTGGGTGAGTTCAGGGCATACAATAATATTTATTTGCCTGCAAGCTGTCACCTAAATATTAGACCTCATTTAGAATAATGTCGTAGGATTTCGTAGAAACCATAGTGGGAGGGTAAAGGTGGAAGAATGAATGCAAAACTTAAATGAAGGCAACTACATTGGAAACTTCACAACAGACTTTTCAATAACGTAAAACCCCAGCAAGGCAGTTTCCTCCATGATTTACATAATAAGTGGTTGATTGAGGAAATGCTATTAGATTGCGAGCACTTCCTTGTTTGGGGCATCTTCTGCATTCCTTACTCTGAACATTTTATCACTAAGTTGTTGTAATTTTAGTTCCTTTACTATGCCAAGCTTCACCTCAGGTGACAGACTAGTTCCTGAAACAGGAACTGCAGTCAGCGGAAATTCAACTAAACATTTGGATCGGTACGTGTTGATCATATTAGGTTGTGAAATATAACCTCTTTAATTGCGAAGGAATTTGACAGAAGTCGATCTTACCCAAGAGAATATAACCCAAACTTGTGCCAGAAGGATAGCAGATGTTTTTTCAGTGTTTACATTGACCAAGATAAGGAAAAGAACAACAATGCACAACTGTAAGCAAAAAAAGAATAAACAGCAGGGTGATCTGCAGACTTTGTCCTTGTAGATACATGTTTTTTGCCTACCTTGTGCTTTTGTCTCGCTTCTTATTTCTTGAAAGGTTTAAGGTTCTAGAATCATTCTACCTTTAGTGGACAAAACATGCATTTTTATAAGCTTGAAGGGTGGAACAACTCCGTTTTTTGAACAGGGCAGTAAAGCTAAAATAACAGCAGCCATGCAAGTTCCTACACATCCCAGAGACACAGAGCTTTCTGTATCTACGCCTTGTTAAACAGAATAATACGTGTACAAGTACATCTAATTTTCGGGAACGGCCTGGATGTTTATGTGCCAGCTCCGTTCTGTGACATGTACATTATAAACAACATTTGAGCAACAGGCTGAAAAAAGTGTCATGATATCTGTGTTTTGTAATTATTTAAAGTGCAACAATTCTGTAAATGTTTCTCATGTGAAAGTGACTCTTTGCTCTAGTTATAAGCTCAATGCATGAAAGGCAATCAAATTTGAGGATCCCTCTTAAAATCATGTTAAAATTGTAAACATTTCTGTGAGTGTGTGTGATCAATTAACTTAAAAGTGTTTTTATTGTTAAATAAGGCAATCCTATGTTTTGCATATATCAAGAAAACGAGGGGATTTGGTCCCAAAAACAAAGACTGAAGGCGAGGCTTGAACTCTCAAACAATGACTTGTGGATAGTTTGTGATGGGATCCTGCAATCTGAAACAAAGTTGGTTCGGGTTAAATAAGTATCCCTGCATCCATCCACCCATGGATCTTGGGTTTTTCTTTAAAAAAAAAAAAAAGCTATTTAAACCCTGATTTCAACCTCAACATTGAAGTTTTTGCTAACTTTTGATTTTATACTTGTGAAGTTTTCTAAAAATCAACTAAGCACACTGCTGGTTTAAAACATAGACTTTCACTGTGAACCTGTATAGAAACCCAGTTCTTGACTTGTCTGATTGCAGTGGATTGCCGATCTAATGAAAGACGGATACATTTTTAAAGATTTTTTTGCTTTTAGCTTCCCAGAGGAAAATAAACCCCAAACTGTACAGTTGTACAGTGTAGAAAATCCTACATCTCTTGTCCTGCTTTGATTTCTGCAGCTGTCTGTCTTTGTCTTTTCAGATGCTCCGTCTGCTCTGACAACCTCACTAACTGGTACTATGAGAAGGATGGCAAGCTGTACTGTCAGAAACACTACTGGGAGAAGTTTGGGGAGCTCTGTCACGGCTGTTCGCTGCTAATGACAGGACCTGCCATGGTAAGTCGTTATTGTTTCATCTTTTTTGCTCTTTACCAAGATATCCCAGCCTGTTATCACAAACCATCTGGAGACGGTGTTTGAGCACAAACGGTTTATTCATCAGAAAGTTTGTAAGCAGTTTTATTTTGTATTTTTGGGGTGTTGGAAAGCTCTTTATGAGTTTATTGATGAGGGCATCACAACAGAATTGAGGTATAAGGGCTGGAGGTTTTTCTGTTTTAAGCTCATAAAATGAACTAAAATTATACATTTTTGTATAACTACCCATGTCTTACCAACCCTTTTATTGGTTCCTTGGCATGGTAACATAATCTGAACTTTAAATAGTGTTCACATCAATAGTTCTGATTTAATTATATTATTTTATGCAGGAATCTTACAGATGTCAGTTCACTTTTCTTATTTATGGGATTTTTTTCCCCTTTTGCTTGAACTGCTGATGAGTGGCCAACTCTCTTTTTTTTTTCTTTTTTGTTTTTTGTAAATGTGGTCTAATTATCCAAATGAGTATGTTGATAAATGTAAATCTGAAACAGTTTCAGAGCGCTCCAGGGCTGGAAGGACTGAGAGATGTGGAGATTCAAGCCAAACTCTGCTCTTGATTCAATTTTAACTTTTCTCTTTTTTTCATAGAGGTTAAAAAATAGCCTAAATATAGTTCTGGTGTAAATACTAATAACAGATGGTAAAAGTAAAATGATCACAGATGGCATTTGAACTACTCTAGATTACATAGAGAACATTCTAGATTCCTGGATCCTCAGTCTGTTTCCACTCGTCTGGTTTCTATTGTATTGTTCTGTGATTATTTGACCAAATGTTTTTAACCTGCTGAAAGACTTGATAACGACCCTTTGTCCGTGTATTGGTGCAGTGAGATTAGGTTACTGTGTTCTGATAAATGGTAAAACCTGCATGGAGTCACTTTTAGTTTTTATTTGGTTAATCAGCCTTCAAAGTCTTCAAGTAATGGTGAATGTTTCGAAAATCCTTTAAAAAGTTCATTATTAACAAAAGGCAGTGCCTTGTAAATTTATTAATACTTGTTGAACTAGTATTACTTATTTATGTTCTTTTCTATATTGGCAAAGAAGTAAATATTTTATCAGAAAAGATGCACTCAATGTTAAAATAATAAAATAGATTTCTTAGGGGACTAGTTTTAGAATTACATGGCAAGTGAAACCATCGATAAATGATGATTGCTCTTTCTAAGGCTCAAGTTACTGTTTTTTTTTTTTTATGAAATATTTTAAGAGAGCTTTAGATTGTACCTGTGTGTGGAATTATATCTGGGATTTCTATAGAAATGAGTGTAAGTAGTTAAACTCTAACTTTTGCAAACAGAAAAACTGCATCAAAGATTTGCAAACTGTAATTTAAAAAATAAGCACTTGAAAGATTTTACAGGTTTTAAAGTAGTGTTGATTTAAGTTGGATCAGAAATTAACTGCAGCGCTGTGTGTGTGTGCATAATAAAACGCAAGTAGCTAATTTGTTTTGCCCTCAATCTATGAAGATCTATGAAAACACGTTTCACACAGCCTGTTGTGCTCCAGTTTTAATTTTTTGGTAGACCTTTTGTTTTTCAGTTGTGAACGCTACTTGTTTTTGGGCTGCTGCTGAATCTAGCAGAAGGGGCTCTGCATAGACTTGTGAATTAGTTTCCCCCCCTGGAGGCCCCACTCTGTTCCTTCTCTGTACAGAAGTTCTCCACGGTTCACTTCCCCACATGCAGAATGGAGTGGGAAAACACCAGAACATGTGGTGGTTTTGGAGCATGTAGAGTCCAGTGTGGTGAGAAGCTCTGTTAATATTACCCACAGTTCTGATGACGTGCATAGATGAGATCCAATATCTGTATTTGACAGAGTAAACAGTGCTCGCTTCAAACAAAACAAAGTCAATAAATAAGTAAGCATTAAACGTCCTTCAGCTGGAAGCTTCTGCTGCTGGATACAAACAAGGTTACCCAGCTAACATGCCGTCAGACTGACGTTTTCTTCCTGCCACCAAGCAACAGGCAGAATGGGGTTTTTACATTGTGCCGTTGGCGTCCAGCTTCATCAGCTTCACCGAGTGTTTTTGGCAGGACTGAACTGGCACCGCGGCCGATGGGCCAGACAGGAAAGCATTGTGGTCCATGAGCAGAGGAGGCTCATACAAAGCCGCTCCTACTGCTGCTGCATGTTCGGCATCCGAGCCCAGAACACAACTGCTCTTGTTCTAGTTTGTTTGTTTATTGATGAAATTGGATTTTCTTTCTTAAACAGTTTTCAGGATCAGTTTATGAAATTCTGCTTTGTTGCTACATTCGTCTGTTGTTTCACGTGTCACTGTTTAGGCCTGCGGCAGGGCGTAACCCAGGGGGGTGGTTTTGTTTTTGTGCTCAAAGGTGAGGAGTTACAGACAAGCTCGAGAGATGTCACAATCATTTTGTCGACATCACCTTCAGGCTGCTGGGAATCCCTTTCCAGCACAGACAAAGTGACTCACATCTACAGAACATGTTGGAAAAATACCACAAACCTGTCTGTGCTTAAGTTTCAGGTAGATGTGAAGAGTCAAGCAAAAAGAAATAATTTAGATTTTTGTTTTTGAGCATGCCCCTCCGGCTCAAAGCAACACACAAAAATGTTAGAGGATGGAAAACATAGGAATGTTAGCTTTAATATTCATTGCACCGTGTGGAAAACGTATTTTGTCTGCAATTATATTGATGTATGCATCTATGATTTCATGATGCATACATTAATCTGAAATTAGTAATTGTTGCAGATTTTTTTAATATCACTTAATCTTTTGCACACTTTTTCACTTCGCAACCACTAACTTTCTTGTATTTTATTTAGATTTTTATGTGATAAATCCAGATAACTAAATCCAAAAGAGAAGAAAGCGGATGGAGTTTTGCTATTTTTGCAGAATAAAAAATGTGTATTGTGCATTCTAAAAAAATTGCTTTTTTTAGTCCAACAACCATAAATAATTGAAGCCAACCAATTTCCTTTAGACGTCACTTATAAGCTGCTTTTACAAAGTATTGAATCAGAGGGACTGAATACAAGTAAACTCACATTTTATTTAGTTTTATTTCCAAAAAATATTAAAAACCAGAAAATCGTTTTTTAACTTCACATTAATGAGCTATTTTCTGTGTTACTGTTGGCCTTTTATATAAAATCCCTATAAAATCATTTTCATTTTGCTGTTGTAAGATGTAGGGATTAACAATAAATCATTATTGCACTACCAGGATGTACAACATGGGTATAAAATTAATGTTTGGAGTGCAATAATTGTATTCCTCATGTTACTAGCTGACACTATTCCATTCAGCTCTCTGGATAGAGTTTCACTGCAGTAAATGTCCAAATCACAGAGGTGGAAGACGTCACTGGGAGCATTGAAAGAGCAGCGGAGAAAGAGACTGAGGGAAATCTGAATTTATTGCAGCTAATTTCTGCATCAGAATATTTACTAAAAATATCTCCATTGCAGAATTTTCTCATATCTTTGTGATTCAAAAGGAGCAAATAGTTTTACAAGGCGCTGTATTTACTAAGCCCTCTGCTTGCTCAGACGCCGGAACATTATCTCATCTTGCATGGGAGAGAAAGAGGAAAGACAGATGTTAAGAGAGCATGACATAAACTACTGAAAGGGAAATTGGTAAATCATGTGCAGCAAGTGTCAGAGCAAGAAAAAAAAAAGAGAGTGGGAGAGACATGAAAGCAGCAGTGAAACAAGCAGCTCAGACCTGCCTGGATGATGTCAGAGCAGATTCCAGACAGACTGAGAGTGAAGCAGGTGTTGCCGCTGTGTCACCGCTCTCTGAGAAGGAGGGTTCACAGAATCACACACTTATTAATGACACAGCAGAGGATCTCAACATATCGTTTTCTTTTCTGTCCTGCGTGGAGCATCAGCTGGTTTGCTTCTGGTTGCAGGTGGCTGGAGAACTCAAGTACCACCCCGAGTGTTTTGTGTGTCTGAGCTGCAAAGTAGTCATCGAGGACCGGGACACATACGCCTTAGTCGAGAGGTCCAAACTCTATTGGTAAGTTTGTTTTAAGTAGTGTAGGAGATTTTAAGGGGTTGAATGTAGAGTGGGCATGTCAAAATCTAGGTTAATGACTGAGTAAGTGAAAGCTGATGATAAAAAGATAAGATTACTGCATCATCTGTTGCAATACATCTCCTTCCTCCACAGTAAACTTACTACAATCCAGTTAAAGAAGTTAATTTGGAAGTTAATATTGCATGTCATAATTTAAACACCATTTGAAAACAGTTATTCAGTTATATTTAAATATGTGAAGAATTTATTAGTCATTCATTTGATTCTGGTTTGTAGGGATTCATCCAAAGCTCAAAGGACAGTGGTACTCAAAAACTGGAGATGCAGACCTTTAGTGTCAAAAAATAAAATAATGATGCTGCCATAAAAAAGTTGATAATATATAACAATATATATTATAAAGTAATAAAATAACGCTAAATGTGATAAGCATAACACTATAATATATTTGTCAATTCTCTTTGGCATTGTTTCCTTCAATACATATTTGATTAAATAACATATTTTGTCAATTAAGTTAAAAACTTCTTTAATAATTGTGCATTGCAATGTATTTAGCATAATCATCAGTCATGTTTCTTATGCTGAAATGATGTTTTTACACACTTTTTGCTAATATTCCTAATTATTTTGAGTGTTATTTGAACCATTTTCTTTCCTGCTTTTGCAGTGGAAAGTGCTACAAGCAGGTAGTCCTCACCCCTGTGCTGGAGAAACGCTCACACGACTCGATATTGGACTCCCTGCCGCACACGGTGACGCTCATCTCAATGCCCTCGGCAGCTAACGGGAAGAGGGGTTTCTCTGTGTCTGTGCTGAGGGATGTGAACGGCTCGGCTAGCGTTCAAGTCAAAGAGTAAGTGCCAAACTGCTGGCGGCAGATTTGTGCGCCTGTGTCGTCGTTGTGTGAGTAATGCCTTTATGTAAGGCATGATTATAGGTTTGGTGAGCCGCTGCTGTGTGTGTTTGTGTAGAAGCATGTCACGGCAAATGAGGTAGTGGTGGGAATCTTGATGTTGATTGTAAGTCGCTTGCCTGTTCTTGCTTCAGGGTCAGAGGGATGCTTATCAGTCCAGAGGTGCGAAGTGCTATCCACGTTGGAGACAGAATCCTGGAGATCAATGGACTTCCTGTTGGGACGCTGATGGAGAAGGAGGTGAGCATTTAAAAAATAAAAATAACACCAATCCTGCTACAGTGTGGCACAAACTGAAAATGTTTCAAACCTGACAAACAAAGTTTCCTCATTAGCTTCATGCCTCAAGTGCATATTTCAAAGCCATGTTCTCATCTTGACATGTGGATTTTTGCATTTCTCACATTCTTCCACCATTTGAACATTCTCGAGTTGGGAGAGGAAGGCTTTTAAATGACTTAATGGCTCATTCTTAAAGCCTCTCCCTTGAGTTCTTCAGACATGCTCTTGTTTTGTTTTAGATATTGCTGATCTAGCCTTGTTTTTCTTTCTCACCACTGATCAATATGGAGTTTTATCCAAAGGTTGGACTTTGTTGTTTTGCTGTGGCACAATAACCTGAAGGCAGTCAAATTCTGACACTTATATCTGACACCTATTTTTTTTTCCACTTTACAATAAGGCATATCAATTAAAACCTTCATAAATAACAGGGTTTTCTGGAAAGTTTAGAAACATCCAAATTTTAAGTTGAGTAAATTTGTTCGGTTTATATTTTCCTTTTTATGTTTTTGAGTTCCTAATAACTTAGTTTCTGTGGGGCCTGTACTTCACAATACTAGAAGGTCATGCAACATTATTAGCAAAATCAGTGATGACGTGATAAAAACATGAGAAATTCACATCACTTGTGCTTCCAACTCTCTCTCCACTGCCATTCAACTCCAACTCACTGGCTCAAATATTATTGGCATGCAGAGTGTGACCTCATGTTCCTTTGAATATATTTTCTCCAATGATTGCATTCCAAACAATCTTTAGTGTCAGTTATGTTGATTAGCCTGAGAACGACAATGTATTTGTAATATTTTGTGCATCCCTACTTGTATTTATGTATTCACCCCACAATGCGAATGATGTGAAAGGAGTTAATAAAATACTCAAATGGCGACATCTTGAGGGTCACCAAGTCTTCTGAAACCATTAGAAATATCCATGCCCACTGATCGTTTGATAGCAATGTCCTACCATCACAAATGTAAAGCAAACTGGAAACTGGACCCATTTTGCTTCAAATCAGACTAATATTGAGTTTCATTCAAGGTGGGATAAAAATATGACAATGGTCCAAATGACTGGTGTAAAGTATGGTGGAGGATATGTAATGCTGTGGGCTTGAGACTTTGTTAGGGTGCAAGGCGTCATGACCTCTTTAATATCCAGGGACATTTTAAACAGTGAGCTCTGCCAATTATCTCAAGGTGGACCAATATATTTTGTCTGTATGTGGTCAAACATGTAAAGTAACAGAAATGGTTCAGATTAACTTTCTTCATTCCCACGTCAGACTTAAACCTTTTATAATACTCTGGGGTGACGTGACACATGTTCACTCGAAGTAATAGTGATTGCTCTCATGTTGCATGAAAAAATGAAAACAGCATGAAAAAAAATCATGGCTGTTTGGTTCACTTTCCTTTGAGGAAAAACTGTTCCAATCTGCATGTCCTTTTCTTGTTAAGGTGTACGATCTGATCCACCACACCAGTCACACGCTGCAGCTACTGATAGAGTACGACCCAGTGAGGCAGCGTCTAGATCGGCTCCGTCTGGGCTCACCGAGGAGCCAGCTGGGCGTCCCGGCCACATCCCGCATGCGTCTGTCCTCTCCGTCCAACACAGTCCTCGAGAGGACGGACGAAGTTGATGATGGCATGCTGAAAAGGAGATCTTTGAAGTACGCAAGAGAGTCTAAAATGTTTATATCTTCCTTGATTTTGCTCTGAGCCTACATGCCATTAAACTGTCTTTATCTGTCTTTCTTCAGGCGCAGTAACAGCATATGCAAGTCCCCAAACTCCCTAAAACAGGCGCCGATAATCACAAGAGACATCGGCCGCTCTGAATCCCTGAGGTCCTCCAGCAGCTGCTCTCATCGCATTTTCCGACCCTGTGACCTTATTCATGGAGAAGTCCTAGGGAAGGGCTTTTTTGGACAGGCCATCAAGGTCAGCCTGCAGCTCTCGTCTCTTTTTTCCAGTCAGCATGTCATCTCTATCACTCTTTAAACTTCAAATAATACCTGCTTTCGTCTCAGGTGACGCACAAAGCCACTGGGGAGGTGATGGTGATGAAGGAGCTGATCCGTTGCGATGAGGAGACGCAGAAAACTTTTCTAAAGGAGGTGGGTAATGAGCAGCAGGAGGCTGGTGATTTCGCACACACACACGTGTCTGTGTTAAGATTCACAACGAAAATACACGCCACTTGCTCCAACAATCGCCTCTTTGTACATTATTTTCAGGTTGTCACATTGCTCTGGTGGGAACTCATTAGTTTGACCCATATTTAATCCTTTCTTCACACATGCTAAGCTTTCCTCCACTCAGAACTGATTAGAGATAATTTACTTATATTAATCAGGAACTTTTTGTTTTGTTTTTCTCTTGTCTACCACGCGCCTGGATTTCAGGTCAAGGTAATGAGAAGCCTCGACCATCCACATGTACTGAGGTTCATTGGTGTGCTTTACAAAGACAAGAGGCTGAATCTGATCACAGAATTCATTGAAGGAGGAACGCTGAAGGACTTCATCAGAGACATGGTGAGTTAAACTTATTCTAGTACAACCTTCATGCTTGGTGGACTATAAAGGAGCTCAGAGTGCAGGTGACCTGAAGTAAACTCCACACTCGTACACAGATCTCAGCTCATTAATTGGTAGGTTTGGAAATCTGGAGGCTTAGTAATGAGGAGGTTTCACCAGGGGAAAATTACCTCACCCTGCTGCCCTCCTCTATCATGTGTTGTTTATGTTGTTGTTTTTTTTCTTGCTTGAATTAGGAATATAGTTTGCTTTTGATCTCCTGGTGACACAGTTTAGAAAAGTCTGGCAAACAGCAGAATTTGGTTTATGTCTTTCCAAAGTCTGGATAACGATATACAATAAAAAAATAATGTGTAGAAGTATTTGTTTGCCAAGTCCAGTGCCTAAAAGTTTAATATCCACACATCCACACTTTCACCCACCTACCCCTCGTTCTTGTCTGTCTTTTCTTCTAGGCTCTGTTTTTAAAGCCTGACAACCTCAAAATTATTAGCCAAAAAGTTATGGTGACCTGTCCTATTTATACTTTAAAACAAGTTTGATAATTCTGGACATTTGTGTCTACAGTAGATTGGATTTCTGTCATAAAAATATGTAGGAACACTTTTTTTATTGAGATGCATTTATCAAGTATGCTTAAAAATGACTCTAAGCCCTGTATTTACTTCATTTATGATGCCTCTAAAAGTTTATTTATTTATTTTTTTTTTTTTTTGTTTTCACTCTGGACTCACAGGACATGTTTCCATGGCAACAAAGAGTCAGTTTTGCAAAGAGCATCGCCTCTGGCATGGTGAGTTGTTTTCTTTGTTTTGCCTTGGGGGGGAAATTGACCATTAAACATCAGTGATTTGATTACTAATTCTATTAAATTGTGAATTCAGCAGTATAAATTATGGGATTCCTAAGAAATTAATTTAGCTTTTTCTCTTAGGCTTACCTTCATTCAATGAGCATCATCCACAGAGACCTCAACTCTCACAACTGCCTGGTTAAACTGGTAGGTGACCTCTGACTCTCCTCTTTAACTTTGTTAACATTTGTTGCAGTTTTATGAAGAAAGCAGTATAAATAGAATGAAAAAAAATACAATTATGTAGTAATTCTAAAAATGCCCCAGATATTTTACTCTGCAATTAGCTGTAAGTAATCCTATTTGGGATACTTGTCATTCCTTGAAAGTTGCAGATTTTTATTTTTACCATTCTGGTTCACTGATCAGTTTTTTTTTTTTTTAAATCAGTCTTTCCTGTAAACCCAGTGAACACTTTGTTTCTACTTTCAACAGGACAACACTGTAGTGGTTGCTGATTTCGGCCTGTCCCGACTCATCGTAGAGGAGAAAGTTAAACCTCCTCCAGAAAAACCTTCAACCAAGAAGAGGGTGTTGAGGCGCATTGACCGGAAGAAGCGGTACACTGTCGTTGGAAACCCTTACTGGATGGCTCCAGAAATGCTAAATGGTTAGTGACTTATTCACAAAGAAAAACTGAAAAAAATAATAATTTCATTATGAGAGAAGAAGACAGTCATGGGATCAAAGAGTGCATGTACTTTATTCTTTATTTGACTTCATTTTAGGTAAACGCTATGATGAAAAGGTGGATATTTTCTCATTTGGAATTGTTCTTTGTGAGGTAAGCTGCTGTTATTTCACATTTCCTTCTCCAATTTGTTAAATACCTACTTGACAAAGACATGTGATGTTTCTTGGATGCCATGAAAAGATTTTATTTGTAATTCGATTCAGATTATTGGAAAAGTGTACGCAGACCCTGAGTGCCTCCCCAGGACGCTGGACTTTGGCCTGAATGTTGGCAAGTTTGTGGAGAAGTTTCTCCCTGAGGACTGTCCTCCAGCTTTCTTTCCCCTGGCTGTGGCCTGCTGTGACCTCACACCAGACAACCGGTGAGAACCTCCTCTTAAGCTTACATGTCAAGAAAACGGTGCAGAACATATCAAACATTGTTCCAAAATACTATGGTATAATAACTGATCGGCCTTGGATATCTCAATTGATCCAGATTATTAAAATGCAACTCCGTGGATGCTGCCACTAATCAGCATTTGACTTTATAGGTTAGCTTTAGAGAGAGACGCTTGTTTAAAATTATTTTCACTGCTTTCTGTAAATTTAAATAGTAGTAAGTCAAATTTTATCTGAATTTTGTAAGGCATTAAATAAAGTGTCAAACCCATTTTCACGATACTAGTAAAAATTAAGAGCAAAACAACAAAAATAAATGACTTCCAAATTTTAAGGGAGAGTAAATGCAAATTATTTGAATTTTCTGGAGCATAAAAAGTTAGCCATGGAGTTTTGTATTAATGAACCTTGAAGCCTTCGTCAGACAGGGTTGTGTTTTTATAGGGACTTCAGGAATTTAAAAGCATCCTTTGAAGCTAAAAACAGAAAAAAAAAATGTGCTGTAGCTTTAAATAAAGAAGAAATCTAACAGGATTTTGCTCTAGTGTAATAAAAACTAAGACCAAAAAAAAAAAAAAGCAAAAAATTCAAGCATTTCACAAAACCTGTTTGTGTTTTGTTGCTGGGTTTCGTCTTGTTATTGCACCTTAAGGCCACAGCGGAGGAGAGAGAGAAAAACAAACAGTTTCACATGCCATATGGACATGCTTGCACAGGGACATGTCCCTGCTGCCAAATTGCTTCCTCGTGTTTTCTCTTAACCTCGTCGGTCTGGTTCTAACCTAAACCTCCTCACTGATCTTTTCTCTTCTCCTCCTCCCGTAGTCCATCTTTTCAGAAGCTGGAAGACTGGTTTGATGCCCTCTCGCTTTATCTGGAACTGAGAATCCCTCTGCCAGCTGAACTGGATGAACTGCATCAGAATCTGAGTCAACTCTACTGGCCTAAGGATCCGGTCCAGAGCTCAGAGGAGCCAGCCACCCCAACAGCAGCCTCTCCAGACTGCACCAGCATGACGGACAATGGCACCTAGGATTTGTGCCTTTTTGACATGTAGCTCACTCATTCACTCTTTGTGACTCCTCTTTACTACTGCACTAATTCTGTGGTGGGGGGTAGAAAGAAACGGTGTTGAAACCGAGCCAATTTAGAACTGGATAACCTGAGACAGCTGGACCAGTTGTCCTGTTTTTTGGAGCATAACACTTGAGTGCCAGTGAACTGCAGTGAAAATGAAGAGACGCATTTCAAATTCCTAACTTTTGGTTGCTTATTTTTGTTTCTGTGTGTCTCCATTTAAAAACACAGAGCAGTTCTTAATTTTAAAGTTCACCTAATTGTAGCAACATAGAGGGGATCTGTCCCCCCTATGCCTAGAAACAGAGACATTTTTAGGCATTTTTGTCTTTTTTGTGACAATAGTTTTGTTTTTCTGGCTCTGATGGTGCTCAGTGTGTTGAGAACATAAATCCATTCCACGCCTTAAAGAGGAGTTGCCCAACCCCAGCAAAACAAAACAAAAGTTCTTTTGACAGTCAAATCACAGTGCAGGTGAGGATTGTTGGCACAAGTGTGTTCAAATGTACTCTAGCAAATGTGTACAAGTAGAGAGAAAAAGAAAAGTAGCTCAGGCAGTGTGGAACAATTTTCGGGAAGACTTCTTGATACATAATTTCAACTGGAAATTAACGAGTCAGATTTTAGATTTTTTATTTTTTTTTTCAGTCTACCCGAGAGTAAATTTTTATTGAATAGACATAAAACAATCCTTCCATCTAAACATCAAATTGTGTTTCAAAATGGTGAGAGGTGAAACAATCCCCACAGAAAGACACTTAATGATGTCTGAAATTGGTTGAAAGGTGGTTGGAGTTGAGGTAACTTTGAGTTTCTTCACTTAGGCTAAATGTAGAGGGAAATTTGGGATTTAAAAAAAATCACATCTCAACAGACTTTTCTGGGTTAAATAAAGACAGATTACTGCACTCAAATAGCCATAAAAAGGTGTGCATTGATGCCCAGTGTTTAAAAAGATGATTAAAAGGAAATAAGAACAGTATTGAAAAATACGTCTCTAGCCGTCCAGCAGTCATTTATTTATTTCTATAATTGCTCATTTTGAGCACTCATTGTTTAGGTCACACTGTATGAGCACTTTTCTCCACTGAATTTTAGATCAAGGTCAGTTTCTAGTTTAGCATTTACACATGATGAGAACATTAAAAAAAAATATTGACTCCTCACTGTAAAATTAAAAGCAGAAACCACTAAAATCATGGCTCTTTTAAACAAACCAGTGACCTTTACTTCAGTCAGTTTTTACCATATGTGAACTTATTTAATGCTTAGAAATCATTCATCAAAATGGTGCCTGCTAGTGTTTTAGTGTTTTCTTTCTATTACACGTAAACTTTTTTTTGTTAGATTTTATTTATTTAGGTTTTATATTCTTTTCTTTTGACATTTGACCAAGATTTTGTAATTTCACGGAACTGCTTGTTTTTTCTTTGAAGCGTCTTTCCCTAAGATGTGTGGATGCCTGCAACACTGACCTGCACTGTGTGTGAACTCTGAAGATAATACAAAACTATAGTGCTGCAGAAAAGTCTGTACATGTTGAGATTTTCATGTTTCTTCCAAACTTCACTGATCTTGGTTTGTTTCTTTGTAGTTTAATGATTTCCACTAATTTTTCAGAATAATGAAGACTTAATTTTTGTTCTCTTTAACAAATCAGGACAAAGGCTTCTGTTGGATGTTATGAAACAAACTTTGTAAAGTGGGGTTTTTTTTCTTCTGAAAGAAGAAATAATGTGTCATGTAAATGTGTATATGTGACCTCTAATTGGATTGTGTAGATTTTTCCGTTTTTTTTTTTTTATATTAGACATTTCGACAGCATTTTGCTATCACCAAGCAAGGTACTGAAGACCAGTTGTAACCACTTTTATTTATATCTCTGTAGTGTTTTGTAAATAAAACTTCGGAATGTTGCTTTTTCAAACTGTCCTGTTTTTTTTAAGCACTGAAACTTTTTTTATTTTTTTTTAGAGTGTTTTTTGTTTGTAGTTTCATATCCATTCATTTTCTAACACCTAGTTGGGTCAGGAGGGGTGCTGGTGCCTATGTCTGGCTAACGTCCCGGGCAAGAGGCGGGGCCACCCTGGACAGGTCGCCAGTCTGTCGCAGGGCAATACAGAGACAGTCAGGATAAATAGCCATGCACACACACTCACACGTAGGGAGAATTTAGAGAGACCAATTAACCTGATGTTTATGTTTTTGGACTGTGGGGGGACAAGAGTAACTGGACAGAACCCACGCATGCACAGGGAGGACATGCAAATTCCATGCAGAAAGACCCCGGGCCGGTAATCGAACCCAAGATCTTCTTGGTCAAATTTAAAAAAACAACTAAAAACTGTTTTCCAATTTGAGAAAATCTGTTGCACTCTGATACTTAAGAAGCAGAAGGCCGGTCATATCTGCTAGAGATAAATAAGATATGATCTTTGGAAATCTTTGGTATTTCAATAGTGTAAAATAATGTTTAAAATATTTAAACCTCACACTTTACAAAGTACATGGTACTCTGGACTGATCACTTTTAACATACAAATTGTTTAACTGCAAAAGTAGTTATATAATTTCATCTGACACTGCAACTACAAACTTTGATTTACCTTACTTGTGGCACCTTTTTTGTAACGAATCAACAAATATTGGAATAATTGTGAGGTAGACAGAAATGTCACATTGCTATTAAATTCTAAATCTGAAAGGTGTGGCATGTAAATGCATTCAATCAATAGTACTTAGAGCCCATTCCAAGCCTTTAGCCGTATGTTACGTCCTTTTTTTTCTGCCTTATATGAATGTTCAAACTAGCGGTTCACCATAAATTAAAACAATTAATCAGTTTTTCAGTATTATAATCTTGAAAAAAAAAAAGTTACAAATATTTTGAAAATTGCATTTTTGTTGTTGTGATGATGAGGATGTCTACTTGCAGAGCTTTGTGGGTTTGTAAACATTTGTTTCCAAAAAGCTCCTTTGATCAGTTTTAAACCCAATGAACAAATTTGATTATTTAATCAACTTAAAATATAATCAAATAACCCAATAAATAATTTATAGTTAATAGATGAAAAGGATACATTATAAAAACATTTTTAAAAATACCTTGTTGTGTTTTACATACATTTTTAAAGTGTTCATAGAATCCATTTTTATTTCTGATTATATGTTTGGTTATATTTGATATTTTTAAAAACACGTAAAACAAAATAAAAATGTGTATTTATTTTTGTTACATTAGAACTTTTTGCCACATAGTTTTCCACCACACAGTAATTACCAAAAAGAAATTAAAAATGAAGAACAAAAGATTTAAAATGAAATATTTCTAAAAATGTAGTCTTAAAATTATGCTTTCACTTTACTTGTTTTGCCGCCAGAGGGAGCTACTGCTACATTCTTGTCAGGACAACTGCAACAACAACGCTTGAACAGTAAAAAATATTCATTCTATACTTTTATGTTTCTTATTCAAAAGAAAAGACATTACACTGAAGAGTCTGTTTTTAATTTCAGTCTGAGCAACAACAAATGTCACACAAGTGCTAAAAATCAAATGCTGAACATCGGTACTCATGGTACATTATGATAAAATCTATTACAGCCAACAGAAAAAAACACCAGCGAAGGTCCAACAACACCAAATCATCTGGAGTGATCACATGACAACCAATAACCTATCGGGAAGTAACAGTGCAACAAAAGGAACAAACTCAAAAGCTTCCCGTCGGATGATTTCAACTTATATACACACATTTGTTTTTCTTTTTTTTTTTTTATGAAAATTGCTGTTCTGTTTAATGGGATGCATTATGGTCCCTGAATGACAAACATACAGCAGACAGGCATGCACATGCAATCAGGTTTTTCACGGTTTCAAGAAACACAAAACTGTGGGGTTGTTCCCGCTCTATTCCCAATGTCTACTCTGGGATTAGCAGGAAGCTAATCTATTGGCAGCACACTGTCAGACCCTTCTGAGACTGAATCCAGGCTTTCTTTATGTTGTGTGTTGTGGCGGGGCCGTCTTCTCCTGAGGACTAACTAGTTTGTCTCGTGAATACCGAGAGAACTCTCGGATTTTCCTGTCACTCCTTAACCTGTGGATGAAAGGGGCAAGTCTTCTTCCGTTTGCCAAAGAGCGCCATCAGAACAAACAGGATACATTCAGACGTATCACGCTAAGGCAGTTTCAGAGCTGGAGGCCTCTTCCTTCAGTCTTTCATGGGCCTTTGTTTACATGATGCGTCCTGTAACAGCGGAGCATGACTATTTATGGACACACATCTCTGTCAGTGGAGTGTCTGCAAGACAAGAAGCACTCTTTGTACTGACAATGTTTCTGTTCTCCCGCAGCACAGCCAGTCAGACACGCAAATCAAAGCCGAACAAATTTGACTCGCCTCTTTAAGAAGAACAAACGATAGCAGAAATCTCCCCATTCCAAATCATCACCTTTGTACAAAGACCTGCTTTCCAACAAACACTGATGAAGTCAAAGTCCACTTGACTTAAAGCTCAAACTGAGGATAGACTATTCTGTAGAAAACAAAATACTTTTGTAGTTTTACTAGTTTGTTACCACTGTGTCTGCATTACTGAAGAACATCCGTGTCTCACTTATTAAGGAGAGAAAAAAAATGAACAGATTAAAACGAGGAACAAATGACACAGCAGACAGTTCAGTCTTTGGAGCCAACGCTGCTCCCCAACTCTTCTAAAACGTGAGCTCCCTCAGGGAGGCGGAGAGGAGAAATGGCGACGTGGGAGTGGTTTTGGTCCAGTGCGAGGAATCCACGCTCCTCTCATGCTCCAGGAGTACCGGCGTGCTGACCCATGAGTGGGTCTCCGCCCTCCTGCACCGGGGTGGTCTCGTGCTCGGCCATGATCACGATGGTGTTCTCGTCTATGAGCTCACAGGTGGGGTTGGAGAAAGCTGACAGGGGCAGGGAGATCCTCTGCATCTCACGCTCGTACCGCCGCTGCTCATGCTGCTTCTTTATGTTCTGACCCCTAGAGAGAAAACACAAAACACAGTCATGTTATTTGAAAACAAAAAAGAGAAAAATGCCGACATAAGAATTTAACACGCTCACTGGAGTGTTACCCATTTTATCAGGTTGCAACAAAAACTTTGATGTATTCTATGAAAGGAAAAGGTCTCTTATTCTTCACAAATAAAAAGAGTGTATGAGTGTGACATGCATTTGCATTTAGAACTAGTGAGGCCATATCTTGAAGAATAATATTCATATTCAATAATATTGTAGTTGTTAATAATGAACCTTAATCTGCATCGGGATGTTAAAACTTCTCCCAAAAAAAAAAAACACAGATCAGAAATTGACCACAAAATCCCCATTGGTACAGATCATGATTTCCTACAGCCCTCCTTGGTCTTGAAGCTGTTATTTGTTTCAGATAACTGGAAATGGTGCAAATTTCCAGCAAATACCAAGGACTGAGGAGTGATAGAAAATCTGACTGGGAGAGTTGATCTTTTCCAAAGCAGCAGAGTGGTGAGACGTTACGCTCAGTGATTTTCTGTTGTTCTGGATTCAAAGCAAACTTTTCAGTGAAAACGCCTCCCATCAGCCAACTGGTTCCAACTTTTCACCATCACAACACGGCCTTCAACTCCACCTATTATCAGGGATCTGTTAAGTCTTTTGCTTCGTGCCAGACTGTTTCCAGAAACTCTCTGAAGCCTGTTGCTTAGCAAGTAGCCCACGCTAGCTTTGTTCCTGCTATTTTAGTCTTTCTGTTTGGCAAAACGAGCTGCTAAGTCGAAGCTGCAAATCAAAGCGGGAGCCGTGGGGAATGGATTTTCTCAATTTTTCATTTGAAATTATGAAGGGAAGAGAAACGTAAGAAGGCCGGTTAACCTCATCAAGAAATTCAAGCTGAAGGTTCGTTTAAATCACGTTGCATTGCTCATCATTTGCGCTTTAAGAGAACAAGCTTTCAAATCATCATCCTAAACACACACCACAGCTGACCTGGAGAAGTAGGGATTTTGTTTCTGTTTAAGAAAAATGGTGCATTCCCGAATTCTCAGCCGTCAGATGTCTAGGAGTTTTTCTAGTAAATAAATGCAACATTTTTTTTATCAGCAGAAAAAGTTTACGGATAGCGTTGGAGACAAATCTAAATTTGTTACATTGGTAGCCACTGTCAAGAGAAAATTAACAGCCTGAAACTTAATCTTGGCACCAAATCTCTAAGCTTGTATTGGGTGTCTGGAAGACACTCTTTCTGATATGCTGCTTAAAGTGGTGACCAAGCCATGCTAATCTGATGCACTTCATGCCTCGTTTGTTTAAAAATGTGTTTTACCCACAGTCTACAGCCAGACCTCATGACTGGGGCTGAAGACGAATCCATGAAACTGGAGATTTAACAGAAATATGAGTAGGAAACAGAAATAGACCCAATTTTTTTTCCTGAGTGAAAACTCCATATCTAAATGATGCAACAATGTCCTAGCTACAATTTCTTTGACATGGAGACTGTTGACACTCAGTGAAAACTCAAAGTCAGCTACTTTTCAGTAGCAGAAGAAATGCATATTTGCCACAGCAGTCTGCAATTCCTTCAATCGTGAGAGCAAAACTTTGAGGAAGGAGAAGCAGAATCCCACGTTTTATCTGAAGGTAAGAAGTCTCTTTAGAGAATACACACAGAAACTGCTGTGAGTCGCACAAACATTTAGTTCCTAGGTTCTAAAGAAACCTGTTTTAAAGTGGATACTCTCCAACACATGACGTGACATTGACTCTCCTCCTAACGTTAATTACCCACTAATTAATGTTGGTCAATAATATTAATTACTTAATGAATTCTTCCACCATTCATTAAGTAATGCAGGAAGAAATTTTATCAAACCTAATCTGCCATCTTCTTATCTTACAGCTCTCACAGAAAGAT